AGGAATGCCCAGGGGCCCTCCCAACTACAGATAAGGAGCCTCAACCACATTGTGGTAGGATGAAGGACGCTAAGGGACAGAAGAGTGTTCTTGACCCCAAACATGCTTCTGCAAATGCAGAACCCTGTTGTGTTCATTATAAATCTTCATGTGCGTACAAGCTACCCACGCACTTCATTTTTTTTCAGGATGTGAGGCTTCAGAAGAAAACACTGCATATGTCTTCTTGCATTTGAAAGCATTGCAAAAATGCATTACCTAATAGGTTAATGTCCATGGGTTACTAACTTAGGCATATTTATTGGAGATATTTATTAGAAGAATGAAAAACTTTTTGTATTCAGTTGATTAATTTCTGAGAATCCTGAATGTGTGTACCTAATGTCTTTTCCTTTTTCTTGGAAACACAGTTCACTAGAAAAGATAGCTTTGTACAAAGTATATGGGAGTCAGCTATATTTAAACACTGCATACAGCTTGTCTTCTGCAGGTCAAATATGATTGCCCAAAGATGTCAGGTTGTACTCGGGAAAACTAGAATCTTTTCAAAAGCTGGATGATTACCTCTAAAGTCTTTGGAAAAGTAATAAAAAGTTACAAGAAAAGCAATATTCTGCCTGTTGCTGTGAAGAAAATGTAACTCATATTACAGTACCACTTTTAGCTAATAACAATTTTATTACATTCTGAAATTTAAAAAATCAGAGTGGTGAAGAAATGCCTCCTGTGCAGAAAAACATATTTGAGGAATAGAGGTAAGATAATTAAGCAATAATTTCCCCCAAATACTCACCAGGGTTGTGTTATGGCACAGAGCCACCTATTGTTGCATAAGAATATATTCTATTCCATGTGTTGTATACTCGGATTAACCTCTATAGAGTCCCAGGTGGAACATGTCCTTAGTCTGATAGGTCTTGTGGAAACACAGGATAAATGCAAGCCCATGTGTGAGCTGATGTTGCTTATTCCAATGACACAGCTTTATTTTTATGTTCTGATTTTATTTCCTTCTCCAGAATTTGGGCTTTGATAATTATTTTAAGACTCACAAAATTAATAACAATAAAATTAGTCAACTGACTGTCTTTTAAAAAAATAAATGTAATTCCGTTGGGGGCCTCCTGTATAATACAAGTCCATTTTGTACAGTAGAAAAACTTTAACCATATCTTAGTATAAAACAAGTCTGTGACATCACAAAGCAACTTCCATCTAATTAAGTTGTGGAACTTACTGAAAAAGACTTCCCAGCAAACCCAGTATAGACTGTGTATCCGCGTAAACACAATGATTCAGGTGCAATTTCTAGTTCAAGCAGTCTTTAAGTCAATTGCCAGAACCTGGGAGGATAAATCAAGGGAAAATTCACTTTATACTTGACTTGACTCTTGTACTGCTTCCATAACCATCTTCTATCAGCACAGACTACAGCTATTATCTGCTATTAAGATATTACATCAATCAGACCTTTAGTGAGCACCAGCACGGCTATTCTGCATGTAAACACTGAGCGCGGATAACCAAATTAAGGGATAAGTGTGTTGCAATAACTACAAGTTATTTTCTAGCGAACAGACTCGAAACATGTTGTTACTAAGGGAGAGAACAAATGAGTTAAGACTGAATCCCAAGACATGTCTGCATCTGGGGTGCAGCAAGTCTTGTATTTTAAATTAGAAAAAGTACAGCTAAGTGTACTTTTTGTGTGTTGTTTCATCTTTCTCAGATAAGATTTCTAATCTATGGACTTCAGATATGTGGAAAAAGTAGAGAAATTCAAACTGTCTTTTAATTTGAAATCTTCTAACATGATTAATTTTTAAACTGCATATGCTTTTAGCCCAAAAACCTTTAAGATTGTCAGTAGCCTTATTGAAGTTAAGCATGGGTGCCAGTGCTTTAGGACTTCCATGCTTTTAAGGCAAACTTTTTCTTACAAGCTGGGTCTAATGTGTCATGAGACATTGTTTTGCATAGAGGTTTTATCTCACTGTTTGTTAACATTTCATAATAAGAAAACACTGGATATTCCTTAGAAAAAGGACGATTGTTCATAGAACATGTGAAAAAACTGATTTAAAATATCCTTTATGGCTTGGTGATCCATCTGAGTTTTTCAAGGGATGTTGGAATAAATTGGAGTTGTAACTGGTTTTGATGCAGTCTGGTTCCCTGAAATGTAGAGTGCGGTTTATGCTATGTACACAGATCTTGCTAAGGACTCCTTGTTCTGTTAGGAATGAAATTTTTCTGTGGATATTAAAGGCTTTCTCATTATTAGCAGGCTTAGTATTTCATTCTATGGGATTGCTTTACATCATGAATGGGAGAGAGACACAGCAAGGAATCCACCAGCTGAAATGATTCTGAGGAACTTTCTGTCAGATCTGTATACTGTATTGGTTTTCAAAAATAAATGTGTTCTCAGAATGCACCTGTATATGCAGTGATGACCATGTAATAGCCAACATGAATAACAATAACAAGACTAGATGTTGCTCACATCCTGTGATCAGTGTCAGATTGCTGTGACTGAAAATGAAATATTTATTCTTATTCTTTGGTACTTCTAAGTAAAGGTCTTTCATCGCTGTGTTTCATGAAGCTGTACTTTCAATGCTTCCTAGCTTAGTTCTGTTTAATTGCCTGCCATCTCAATCATAACATAACATGGACTTAGCAGACAAGATGTGATACTATACCTTTCAATGTTCTATACTAAGTTCACCTTTAAGAAAACACGCTGTTTACTTGGTAAAAGTAATTTTAAGATTGTTACAATAATGTTGCATGATCAGTTTTCAAGTCACATTTCCTTTCTGTACAACTTTTCTCTATCCCTCCTATATTGTGAGCCTTTCAGTTCAAATTTTTTGCCTCTGCTTTTTTTTGAAAAAGCACCTCAAGCAACCTTGAGGTACACACAAACCTACTCCTCCGAGTCTTGTACTGTACTGAACAGGTAACAAATACTCTTGACAACAGAAATAATACTGTAATTAAAATCTTTGCAAAGGATCTTGCTTATAGAAATTGAATATATATTGTTTTCTTTGGTGACACATATACAATTTTCTTTCTTCTGTGTTGTTATATCTGAAAATTGTGCTAGGGATACCTCAGAACTCTATTACCCAATTACTGTCAGTGAAATCAAGGCTCAGTGCAGCTTACCACGCATCAGTGCATCTTACCACATTTTTCTCTGCACAATTTACACACTGTCTTCATAGCATTTGGCTAAGCATTTCATATAATTTTCTGTGTAATAAAAGTGCACTTCGCTATATTACTACACTGGTACAGAGGGACCTTGAAAATATTTTGAAGTCCCTGCCAAAGATTTAATTTCTCACTGATCTGTGAAAATTATAATTACTGTAAAATTATGGTTACTGAATACATCCCCCCTTCTCCTATTCATCTTTTTTTCTGCTGTTGAATTAAATAATTTTACTCAATGACAAAGTCCTACCCTGGGACACTGCAATGCTCTCAGATGAACAGGAAGCAAAACAATGAAAATAAAGTCCAGACTTGACTGAATTCACAGCAAATGAGAGACAGAACTTTTTACAACATACCCTTTTCAACACTAGATTTGGGGTAGCCAGGACCTAAAATAACATGTTTAATACATGCGATACTAACATCCATGGAGATCTGTGGAAATTTAGAGCTGTTGTAAAGCTGATAGAGGTTTAA